TATATTTAAAGGCATAACTCGCCACCGGCAACTGGGAGATTTATTTGGAAGTCATAATTATACTTCCTTGCTTCTCCATTTATTTCTCATTTTCCAGTCTTCTTCGTCTTCTGGTGAACTCAAAGAACAATGCGAAATAACGGGCAACTCATAGAAATATGTTGTTATATTTAATTTACGAGGCGCTAGCAGAAGAGAGATGGCGGCGAACAATGCAAATGCAGACGACACAATGAATAAAAGAAAATGAAACAAAGCGAGGCGAATATTGTCGAAAAAAGATTTGAAAAAATAAGAAAAGAAATAAAGGATTCTTACAAGTGTTTTACTTGATGACAAAGAATTCTGCGATAGGCATGCAAAAATGGAAAAAAAAATTAGCAAAAAAAAAAAACAAAAAAAAATACAATGAGTGGGATAGTTTAGTGGTTATAGCACAGGACTGAAAAAATACTAAAAAAAGAGGAGCCCATAATTTATAGATTTAAAAAATGCTCTGGATGTTGGTGATCATGTCTCTCCACATATCCATTTTTTTTATTATCTGAGTATTGCCATGACTTGTACTTCAGCAGAGGACGCAGTCTTCATTAGGAATGCACGCACGCACACACACATATATATATATGAAGGAATATAGTCTTAAGGTGTGCTATATGTATGGGATAAAGTGCTCAATATCAGAGAGCGTGTGTAAATTTAAAAGTGAACATTGAAATCAACACTTAGAGGCGACAGTCTGTTTCATGCTAGACGCAATCGATTGCATCTAGCATGAAACAGACTGTCGCCTCTAAGTGTTGACTTCAATGTTCACTTTTATATTTCTATAATAATAATTAAGTAATACATCGAGTATAGAAGAAACCTTAACAGGATGCAGAAAACGCTGGACTGGCGTTTTGTCCTACATTTAGGACTCATCAGCAGTGCGCATCCACTACCGAGAATTGAAACCGGACCGTTACGATACGACGCAAGCGTCATACCAACTGTACCAACGGGTAACGAATTAGACTCGGTACAGCGCCGCTGTTCAGAAATTTCGTGGTGTAACTCATCCGTGTTTCCCTTACCCATAGGACCGTGTCCCCTCGAGCCACGATTTCTATCCCCAAGCCAGACCATTAGAAGCCAGTTCAAGCAAGGTTATACAAGTGATAGAAATTATTAGAAGAATTTGAGATAATCATAATTAAGTATATATATATATATATATATATATATAGATAATATTAGTGGGAAACAGGTAAACAGTGAATGTGTTAGAAAGGTCTGTACAAAAACTTGCCGTATAGTAAAAATAATAATAATAAGATATGAAATATTCATAATACATGTATGTTTACAGAGAATTATTAAAATACTACTGCTAATAATTGTTATATAGGAATAAAGTGTCGCTGCCTAGTGAGCAAACACAGGCGATCCCATTATTGAATTAAGTGGATCACGTAACCATGGGGGAATTGCATAAGTAGAACGTAGTAACATGACGTCTAAATAATCTGCATTTCTAGTCTATCATCTATTACTATACGGACCGCTATTCTCTACTCTATTCACTATACTATTTCTCTATTCGGATCACTATACTGATTACTATTCGAGCGAGTATTATCGAGCAAATACTATTAGTGCGAGTGATATTCGGAGGCATCTGACACCGGCGTACTATAAGTTGTATCTGCGATTACAAAGTCTCTACTACAACGAGCATTGCGAAAGTGATAACGAGTATACGTTGACATCACAAAATAGACAACGAGTGTTCGTTGACATCAAAAAATAATATATACATATCTGAGTTTCATGCACGTCTCAATCGTCAGACACGGATTGAGAAGATTTTATTTTAAAATTCCGTATTTGAAAGCGGTGTAATATGGGAATTAGTACTAAAACCGAACGCAACACCACTTATTTCGGTGAGATTTTGATGTAACGGAATAAACTGTCGCCCCCATGCGTAACTACACTATAGGTAGTAATTACCTATAAGTAACTGTAAGTCAATGTGCTAGAGAGATCAACTAGAATCTGTTCCAGCTGTACTGTCGAACTCTCTGCCTTCGGGCAGAGAGGAACCCGGACGAGGCTATGCCGAAGGGCAGTGTCTCGTTAGGGGAGGTAGACAGACCCGATCCCGTTTATGCGGGGTTTACGGGGAATTTTTTGGCCGAGCCTATGGGTTCGGATTACCCCACATTAAACTCGGCCTTATACCACATCCTAACCTGTTGGGAAGTTGGTAAATATGACCAGCTGGAATCTGTTCCAGCTGTGCTGGTAGAACTCTCTGCCTCAGGTCAGAGGGGATCCCCAGACTCAAGTTGTGTCGAAGGACAGTGTCTCGTCTCGGGAAATAGCTATCCGACCCCGTTTTATACGGGGTCTACGGGGAATTTTTGGCCGAATCTACGGGCTTGGATTGCTACACATTAATCTCGGCCTTGGGCCAAATCCTACCTCGTGGGAAGGCTGGTAAATATCGACTAGCTGGGATCTGTTACCCAGCTGTTGTCGAACTCTATGCCTTCGGGCAGAGAGAAAGGCTGTGCGGGGTTTATGGGGAAATATGCGGCGTTTACGGGGGACTTTTTGCCGAGTCTACGGGCTAGGATTGCCCCATATTAAATTCGGCCATGTACCATATCTTACTCCGTGGGGAGGTTGGTAAATATTACTAGCTGGGATATGTCGATTACGACTCAGACTTACGCGAGAACTACCGATCTTTCAATAGTAGCACTAACTACTGGATTGACTTGTGACGACCTTGTGCATAAATGTTATCTTCATTGTTATTGTATTCGTTTTTTACAATAAACCTTTACTTATTTTATCCACCTTGTTTTTCAAGTATATATTCCTATGGAATATAACACATTTAATAATGAATTTGTGCTATGTAGCATGTGATCATTATGTACCATTTGTGATCATTTCATTTAAAATGTGAGGGTGGGGTTACTTAGAGCGAAGGAAATTGAGAAAACCTTGCTAAGGAGAAAGTACAATAAAAAAAAAAAAAGAACAGGATTCAAGGAGACTGAAGATGACGATTGACGTTGAATTTAAATTTTTGAAGATCGTAGTTCACTGGAAAGTAAAAAACCGGAAAAGAGTTCCACAGGCAAGAAGTGCAATGGAAGAAACCATTAGAATAGAACTTACGGTTGCACTTGGCAATTTCAACAGTAAAATGATGAGATCTAGCCGCCAATCTATTCAATGATTGTCTAAAAATTAATAGAGGTTTTAAAATTATCGCTTGATTTCAAAAGAAGCACATATACAAAATTTTGTTCTTCATGTGTGTCGTGTCCCCTCAGGACGTAGGCGGTCATGTCTCTCCACAGCTTCCAGTTCATTGTAGCTCTTAATAAATACTCATTTGACTGACTGCTTTTTTTTCTTTTCTTTATTTTATTTTATTTTTTTTTTTGCAAACTCATGTATGTACATCTGCAGATTCTCAGGCAAGTTTTTCACCATGATTCCTCGATCGACCAAAATTAGGTCATGAAATTGATCGACAATTTTAGGAGTTGACACTTTCCAAGACAGTGCTTGTATCTTCTCTATGTCTCCTTTCCCTTTAGGTAGTAAACATCATGTCTCTTCACAACTTCCTACCCTGTGTAGCTCTTAATAAATTTTCTCTTTCTGTTATTTCTCCCAAATCCTGTCCCGCCATCCATTTACTCAAGCTCTCTAAGTGTGTTATTCGCTGTGTTCCTCTGTCCCTCTTGTCTTCACTCTGTCCTGTGAGTATTAGATTTTCCCAGCCCTCCTTCCTCATTATGTGCTCTAGAAACCTGAACTGTTCTTCCTGATGTTAAGTATTGTTATGGTAATTTACTCACGCACTCTCCCAGCTATAAATAGGAACAGTTACTGCCTTTTGGAGAGAGAAGTTTCCAGTAGTCAGATCTAACAGTTGAACCGAACATTCTTGCTGTAACACTCTCGTTTGTATATGTTTGTATTACTGTTTTCTGTTAATATATTTGTTTAACTAAATTTATCTCTTGTGACTTTAACTCTGGTCCTAACCAGGCCACAACAAGTATACGTTTCCTTTTTATTTCCATTTTCTTTAAAACTTCGTCGTTGCTCACATGTTCGGTAATAATACTCAATATTCTTCTGTAGAACCAAATTTCTGCCACTTTAAGTCTGTTCTTCATCTTTGAGGCGATTGTCCAGCACTTGCTGCTAGACAGGAGTATAGATATCACGTACCAGTTTAGTAATCTGTACTATGTTTCTAACGAAGATTTTTTTTTCTATTTCTTAATACTTAGCCTAGCTTTTGGAATTCATCTTTGGCTCTCCCAATACGTCTTCGGACTTCGGTGTCACAATTCTCGTCCTCTGTTAAAACACTTCTCAGATTATTTACATTTCCACTCCTGTTTGAGGTTAGTTAAAAATAAAAGGATGAAAAAATGTCACGACATTGTTATAATCACTGGTTCAAATAAACATATATTCCTTAAACCTGTTTATTCTTTTTCCTTCCATCTTTAATTATCTGTCATTTTGTAATCCTTGGTTCCAATAAACAGGTATCATTCTTTAAACCTGTTTTTTTCCTTCCATCTTTATATTACCTGTCATTTGATAATCATTGGTTCAAATTAACAGATATTCTTTTAACCTTTTTATTATTTCTCCCTTCCTTTCTTAATTACCTATCATTTTAAGTGTGGATCAGACAAAATGAAATTTGTTATTTCGTGTTAATTATGATATGGAAACTAGTCCGACTCATTTGTGAATAAAAATGGGAAGAAAGTCTAATAAAAAAAATGAAAAATAAAAAGTTATTTTTCTTGGTTGATTAGGCAGTCCTTGAAGTTGTTATAAACAAATATTTTTCACCGATGGAAGAAAGAAAGAAAAAAGAAGTAATGAATGAATGAAAGAATAATTAAAAGAAATATAGGAAAAAAGAAAACATATGGTGAATGTGTAGAAAAATGAGGATGAATTCATATTAGAAAGAAAGAAAGATTTTCTAAAATAGAAATGGAAGAATAAGGAAAGAAAGATAGGGGGAGGAAAAAAGAAAAAAGAAAGGAAAAATCTAAGAATAAAGAATGAAAGAAAGAAAGAAATTTAATAAGTAAGGCTGTAAGGATATAGAGACGATGTAGAGAGATGTTTATAAGAGGGAGAAGAAAGAGAAAAAAAAGGTGAAAGGTTAAGAATATAAAGAGGATGAAAAGAAACAGACATTTATGAAAGCAAGGAAGAGACAATAATACAAAAGGGAAAAAAGAAAAGAAAGAAACAAGGAAATATAGAAAGAAAAGGATATAAAGAAGACAGATTAAGAAAACAATGGTTGAAATAAAGAAAGAAGAGAAGATGGCCTATAAAAAAAAAAAAAGAAAGAAATTAAAAGAAAGGAAGAAAAAGAGAAAGAAACTGCAAAGAGAGAGAATGGTTTGATTTGATTTGTTTTACAGCATATCAAACTTAATCGGTTATTTAATGCCGACAAGATTTTTATTGCTGGTAATATTTTTTCCAAAAAGTATTTCTGGTAATATTTTTTGGAAAAATGTATTGCTGGTAATAATGTATTGCTGGTAATAATTTTTCGTCAAGAATTTATTGCTTGTAATAATTGTTTACAAAAATGTATTGCTGGTATTAAAACCTATTTTTACCCTTTCATAGTGTTTTGACCCCAGTTTCGGGGTTAACTATTTGTCCATAGCTGGGACCCTAACAGGTGCTACCACCCCGGGTCCGGTAGGACGTGGGAACACCAGCATTTAAGAGGTGGTTCCACGCTCCTCAAAACCTCCTGATCAGAGGGCTTGCTGTCGGACGTAGTTTATAGTCTTACCCAGGACGTGAGACAAGGGGAATAAAAAAAAATAAGGAAAGTGAAAGAGGGAAGTCAAAGAGAAAACATGTGAGAGAGCAAAAGAGGAAGAAAGAAAACAGAAAAAGAAAAGAAAGAGAAAAAGGAAGAAGAAAATAAATAGGGAAGAGCAAGGGAAATAAATACAGATAAAACGTTAACTTGAAGAAAAAAAAGCAAAAAGAAAACAAGAAATAAATGTTAACATGTAAGAAAGCAAAGAAAGAAAGAAAGAATGAATGAATGAATGAATGAATGAATGAAATAAAGAAAGAAAGCCTAAACATCTAAGAAAGCAAAATGTATGCAAAAGAAAGACAGAAAGAAAAAAATGAAAAATATTCGCATCTAAGAATGCAAAGGCAGCATGCAAAAGAAAGAAAGAAAGATGTTAACATCTAAGAAAGTGAAGAAGACGTTCAAATACATAAAGAAAGCAAGCCAGAATAAAAAATGAAAAACGAAGGGAGTATATAACAGCAAAATTAAAAGCCATTTAAACGAAATAAATTAAAAAAATTCAAATCAAATGAACTAATTTATTTGTTGGAATTGAATTTCTTTATTCTTTAAAGATTCGTTTTCAGATTTTTCCGTTTATATTTGAGAATTTGGACAAAGGAAAAAATCTTGATGGCTAGCATTTGAGTAGATTAACGCCTCTAATTGTTTTGTAGCCATGATTAAAACAATAAACGCAGTTCGTTGATTGGAGACACGTCAAGTAATTTGAGTCAACATTAACGGCGAATTCCTGTTCTCCATCACTTCTACGTCATTTCCGGAACTGATATTTAGAGTTTCTGCGTTTGTATTTATTAAATTTACCCCAATAAAATAACTGTTACGAATACTATTGTCGAGACAAATATGCGAGGCTACATTTGGCAGTGTCCATAATACTATACAATGCAATCGGTAATCAAATTTCCATTCAAGGTCATTGGTTTAATTTTTAACACAAAAATACCTGAGAAAAGCATAAGTTCGATCCCTCATATTTTGTGTTCCATTGCTCGTCATCACAAGATCCTCGTCTCACCAGTGTGAGCAATGAAGACGTTTAAAAAAATGGGAAATAATAGGTTGTTGATTCGTTTTCTACGGCTTATCGACCCTTTGCAGGTTATTTAAAGCCAGAAAATATATTTTTAAGAATATTTTTTCTTTCTGAGATAATTTTTTTTTACAGTAAGGTTCAACCTATAAAAGGCCCGGGAGCCACTCCATGTAGATGGTTACAGAGTAAGAGACACAGTTTATGCGGATAAATGGGGAAGATAATGGTTAACCCCAGTCTTGAACAGGTTAAGATTGTAGTGATCAAGGAAATATCCTCTTGGGAGTCGTTTCCACAGGGCAGTGGTTCGCTTGAGGGAAGTTGCTTGAGTGGAACTTATTTCTCACCAATAGAATACGGAGGGAATAAGAGTTGTTTACTAGAATGTGTCTAGCATAGTGAGTCCCACTCCTGAAGGTTAGAACTGGTGGAATGTAGTTCGTCTGAGTACTTTTCTATAGAAGTAACGATAGAGCAATAGGAGGCTTTCTATATCTCGTCTGTGAGAGAGGGGGTTGCACGGTTGAAAATAATTTAAAACCAGAAAATATTTTTAGCTTGTAAGATTTTTTTCTTCTGGATATAATAATGATTTAGTGATACAAGTTTTACTAATTAACCCATAGCTGGAGGAGAAGAGGTTGGTCCATACCTTTCGCAATGGTATTTGCACGTGAAGTGAATTTAATGAGTCCAACGAGAACTGGAATTCGAAGAGGAGAATAGCTGAGAGGAGAATAGTTGGATTCATGCCTTTCATGAGGATATCAGCGCGTAAGTGAAGATAATGAATCCGACTGGAATTGAAACACGACTCTCCGATTAACAATTCCGATTCATTATCCATTACACCACCTGTACATCCATGCTTACAGTACCTGGTATTCCCAAGCAATCACCTGTCTAGGTACTGGCCAGGCTCAACGTTGCTTAACTTTGGTAATCATACGGGAACCGATTTTTCGACGTGACGTGGCCGTAATCTGGAACTAAAAGGATACTTATACTTAAAATCAGAAACATGATGAGGAAAGAACGTTTGGAGAATTTAACACTCACAGGACATAATGAAGTCAAGAGAAACAGGCGGAAACATCGAGTAACCTATCTCCTGAGTTTTGCAGTGCGATGACAAAGAGGGACGGCAAAGATTCGAACGTTGCGACAAGAGACAGGAAGTTGTAGAGAGCCGTGTTCGCGAACGACATGACAAATAACAGAAGATACTACGATTACTGAGAAACAAGATAAAAAGGACGTAAACAATATTTTCCTCAGTCAAGGATGTCTACAAGTCAGTGGGCCTGGATACATATGTACTAAAAGTTTCATCCGACTTTTGATAGGTTTTATTTTTTTTATCCTATTGAGTTTATCGCCTCCCCAGGTAAGTCTGGTTTGGGACTGGTTTAGGCAAGAACCCGGTCAAAGGAGCAAAATAACACCGTTGGATGAGAGCAAGTAGATGGCTGATCGCCTGGGAATACCCGGTGTTATAAGCTTGTATGTGCGGGTGGTGTAATGGATAACGGCACAGAATGAGAAATCGGCGAGTCGAGTTTCAATTCCAGACAGATTCATTATATTCACTTACGCGCTGATACCCTTGGAAAGGCATGAATCAAACTATTCTTGGTTTGGTTTGGTTTATTTTACGGCATATGTTACGATTATTTAATTCCGGTAAGATTTTTATTAGTGGTAATATTTTTTTAAATGTATTGCTGGTAATAATTTATTCTTCAAAAATTCATTTGCTGCTATTAAAACTTATTTTTACACTTGTTTCATGTTTTGACCCCAGTTTTGGGGTAAACTATTTCTCCATAGCTGGAACCCTACCAAGTGCTACCATCCCGGGTCATGGCGGACCGGGAACACCAACAATTAAGAGGCGGTTCCAAGCCCCTCAAAACCTCCGAATCAGGAGCCTTGCTGTTGGATGTAGTTTATCGTCTTACCCAGGACGCGGATGTAGTATATCGTCTTACGAAGAACGGCCAACTATTCTCCTCAGCTATAGGTTAAATAGTATGACTTGTATCTGAAAATCATTATTACCTAAAAAATGTTTATACAATATTCACTCGCAAAAAGAAAAGAAGAATTATTCTTACGATCCAAAAAATGTGTTTCGGTGTTAAATACCCTACAAAAGGTTGATAAGCCGTAAAAAACAAATCTATCAAAAAAGAATATGAATGGGTATAATTCTTTCCGTATTGTGGAATTCAGTGACAACCATCTGCTTCGTACGCATTTACATGTCAGACGCCAATTTTAACAATTTGTTTGAGAATAACAATTATTTTCTAGATATATATCCTACTATTTAACCCAAAGCTGGGGGAGAAAACTCTTCTTGCTCATTCCTCAAGTCGATTTAATAGTTAAAGAAATATTCTTATTTTTTGTCATTGAAAAATATCTCTGCTGTTGTCATCACATCAATCATTTGAAAATTTCAACTCATTCAAATTTCCGTAGAACTTTCCTGCATAACTCCACGCACTCCACTTGTTGCCTTTTCTTGCGCTAATACAACACCACAGTAACCATCTAACTTGACTGGCTCTTGTCATGCATGACACCAAACCTATTCAGAAATATCTAAACTGTCAGTTGTTTACAAACGCTTTCTCGGATCAATGATTAAAAATGGCTTCGAGTGAATGAAGTCTGTAGCTCTTAGCGTGGGACATCCTCCTTCGAACCTCGTGAACTGGCGCTACATAATCACAAAGAACTGTGCCAAACAACAGAAAATACATTACTTGAGGACTTTCAACAGCAGTAACAACTAAAATGGATAGCATGTGTAACTCGAAGAGAAAATAATGACATAATCAAGATGTTGACGTTATGCATTGCTTCAAACAAAACATCAGGAAAGAAACCCTCCTCATTACTGGAAATAGCATTAACAGTTGTTGAATTTGAGAAAACCTATTTCCCTGGGGGTTAACTATTTCTCCATAGTCATAAATAAATTTTGTATTTTTGTTAATTCTCCTAAACCTTGTTTCACCATCTATTTACTCAAGCTCACAAGTATGGCACAAAAGAATTGAAGGCAATGAAAAAAAAGCTGGTGTAGTGCTTCTGCTGTACATCTCAAGACTCTTGACAAATCCAAAGAAGGATCTGCTATGTAATCGATCTTGACCTGGCATCTCGACTCCAGTTACTTTCTCACCGACGTGACGTGACTCCTGTCTTCCTTTTATACAAATAATTTCATGACAATTGCTCTGATGAGTTTTTTTTCTCTGGTACCTCGACTACATGAATTTAAGCGTGCTACTAGACTGGCAACTACGAGACTGGCAACATTTTACAGGGAGTCTATATATTTAAATACATATCTGGAGTTGCAAATCCACACCTCAACCCCAACGAGAGCTGTTTAAAGTTGGACGCGTGCAAAAACAACCCATCCACTCCCTCTGATCAGGTTAAGGTGATTTTCTAAGTACATGGCCGAAAGTATGGGCTACCCAATGAGGATCGATCTCTGATGAAGTTAGGGATTAAAAACAAGAAATAGAGCAAGATCTGTTTAGTAGGATGAGCGGTCTATACATGGAGATGCCAAATTCTTTAAAATATCCATTGTCTTTGCAGCCCTGTGAGCAGGCGCATTAGCATTTGCATTGTTATTTCAACAGTAAAATGTTGCCAGTCTAGTAGTTGCCAGTCTAGTAGCACGCTTAAATTCATGTAGTTGAGGTACCAGAGAAAAAAAAAGCTCATCAGAGCAATTGTCATGAAATTATTTGTATAAAAGGAAGACAGGAGTCACGTCACGTCGGTGAGAAAGTAACTGGAGTCGAGATGCCAGGTCAAGATCGATTACATAGCAGATCCTTCTTTGGATTTGTCAAGAGTCTTGAGATGTACAGCAGAAGCACTACACCAGCTTTTTTTTCATTGCCTTCAATTCTTTTGTGCCATAAACGGCACAACATTTGGCATTTTATATTAAATGTTTCGTTCACCTGAAGATAGTCAGTGATCAAAACAAATTCCTTATCTCCGAAAATCACAGCTATGACATATTCTTCAGAATTTTGTGTCTTGAATGTATTCGGTCATAGAGAACCAAAAGTGCTGTCATGACATGGACCGTTGTTTGGTTTGCCTATCCTAATGGTGTAACCATGTTTCCTCAATAGCGACATGTCAATCCAAAAAGTATGTTTAATTCATTAAAAAGGCTGCAAATTGAACTTAGAGGTGTACCCACTTGATACCATTGCTACTTAGCATTCAAACATTTTGATAGCAGTTTCATTGACTGCTTTTTTCTTTTTTTTTTTTTTTTTTTTTTTTTGCAAACTCATGTGTGGACATCAGCTGATTCTCAGCAAGTCTTTTCCCTAAGATTCCTCGATCGACCAAAATAAAGGTCATGAACTTCATTGATAAATTAAAGAGTTCACACCTTCCATGACAGTGCTTATACGTTCTCTATGTGCCGTTTCCCTTCAGTGCGTTGGCGATCAAGGTTTTCTACAATTTCCTGTCCTTCTTAGCTTCTAATAATTTTTGTGTTTTTGTTAATTCTCCTAAACCTTGTTTCACCATCTATTTACTCAAGCTCACAAGTAGGGTTATACATTGTTTGACTCTATCTCTCTTGCCTTAAATCTGTCCTGTGAGTATCAGATTTTCCAAGCACTCTTTCCTTATTATGTGCTTCAGAAATTTAAACTGTCTGTTTATAATATAAAACGAAAGAATATTAATCTACAACCCTGTGTGTCTGGAGATTTTAATTTTTTAATATTTTTTATTGATCAAAATATATATATATATATATATATATATATATATATATAAAAAAAAATAAATGTATAAATTCACTTTCATCATATGTTTTATGAAAATTCTAATCATCGTTTTTTTTAAAGCAATAGACATTGCCAAGGAATAAAATACTAGCGGTGTAAATAGAAAAACCGTCCTTTTGACACTTTTTTTTTTTTTTTGCAGGCAGAAATATTCAAGTGTCATAAACTATGAAATTGAAGTGCGCCAATTTCCAGCATGGAGACTTTGAGACCCATAAATATCTGGGAAGTGTTTTAACAGACGATGGATATTGCAACACTGAAATCCTAAGGCGTATTGGGATAACGAAAGATGCTTTCGAAAAGCTCAGCAAAGTATTAAGAAACAGAAAATTTTCGTTAGAAACAAAGAAAAAAGTACTTTATTCTTATGTAATATCAGTCTTCTTATATCGCAATGAGTTCTGGGCAATCTCCTCACAGATTGAAGAAGAGATTTGAAGTTGTTGTTCTACAGAAGGATGCTGAGAATAGCATGGACCGAACATGCGGGAAGTGGCGAAACTTTAGAGAAAATGGAAACAAAAAGGTCACTGCTACTTAACATCAGGAAGAGACAGTTGAAATTTCTGAGCCACATAATGAGGAAAGAGTGCTTGGAAAATCTGATACTCACAGGACAGATTTGAAGGCAAGAGGGACAAAGGAAAACAACATTTAACCTACTTGGTAAATAGATGAAGAAATAAGTTTAGAAGCATTTACAAAACGACAAAATGTATTAAGAGCTACGAAAAACAGGAAATTGTGGGGAACCATGATCACCAACGTCCTGAAGGGACACGGCACCTAAAAAAGTACCAAAGCTTGTGTCCTTTGTTTTTATTTTGAAAACAAAGAAAGAACAAATCACTTGCCCTTTAATGAAAATCTCATAATTATACATGAGTCCCATGACCAAATGTGGTCGTAGGATCGCAGCGTGGATGAACATATGACCAGTTCCCTCCACATATCTTTCAATCTAATGAGTTATTCATTCATGCGTAGAGTATCAGGTGGTTTGACCGGGCGGAGCCCATCTCTCTTCAGGTCAAACCACAGCCGATATCCTCCAACTATATTCTCGCTGTATAGTTAAAATCAGGGGTTCTCAACCGGAGTGCACATGGGCCCTAGGAGTCCATG